TTTTAAAGAGGTTGGATAGGTATTTCAATGAGAGTAAGATGCTTTTTTGAGTTGAATTCAAGCCTTGTGTCCCTTCTTCTTTTCTGACTAGTGTAATTGGTATTCACATTTTGCATCATTAGCATTGATCAAACTTGAAGAGATAAGGGATAGAATAAATCAGAAGACCTGAGAATGTTGGTTTTCTCTAAAAAGGGGGGGGGGAGGGGGGGAGTACATAACAATCCTGATGGGGTACTTAGCAGTCGGCTGGGGAGTTATACTGTACTGTGTGCATGCCAAGTTAATAGGTCTAAGTACATATAGTAACTACAGTAGATCGTTCATAACAGTTTGATATGTCATTGCCTAAGTCCAACCATGCTGTAAATTTATATAATATATACCATTCAAAAGTTGTTTACTAAGGAAAAATGTTATAGATAGATAGATAGATAGATAGATAGATAGATAAAACTTTATTTTACCACGGTGTAATCATCAGGATTTACAAAATGTTTAAAATAATCAACTAATCTATACTAAGTTTAATCTAATCTAATAAAATAAAATAGAAAACCTGCTTTCCATGAATGCCGTGCTTTACTATACATAATATGTTCCCAATAGTCTATGAAATTCTTTGAGAGACTCTGCCTGCCTTAAGTTATTTGGCAGACTATTCCGTGATTGTGTACCACTGTAGGTAAATGTGTTTTTGAGATAATTTGTGCGCAGAAGAGGAATGTTCAGTTTGTTGGCAGAGTCTCATAATGAATAGCAAGTGGTATCCCTCTTGAATACAAATTTAGAGCTAAGGTATTCAGGAGTGGTACCATGTAGGGCCTTGAAAACTAAGATGGCCTTTTGTTTTTGTCTTTGAACACTAAGGGTAGACCATCCCAGTTTTTCAATCTAAACAATCTAAACACTTTAACAGGTCATAACAATACGCAGGTCATAATTKTATTTACTTTATTGACAGGAATTGGAGAAGATAGAATCAAGTGGTGAAGTTTACAAATTGATTGGGCCAGTACTAGTTAAGCAAGACTTGGAAGAAGCAAAACAGACTGTGGCAAAAAGAATTGAATATATATCAGGAGAAATGTAAGTTCAAGCAGTAGCTTATTATCCTATAATCGTAATCAGTATAGAAAATTAATTTGATCAATTCTTAACATACAGTAGCTTGCAATACAAGTTGATGCTTGTTTAAACCCAAAGAATAAACAATGGAAGGCAATAAAGCAGTGTTTGTGGGGTACCTAAAGTCATGAAAAGCCCTTGAATTTATGATACAAATTCAAGGGTGCTTACAATGCATCTTTAAAACATAATTGAAAAGTCCTTAAATACTTCTTGATAAGTAAAAAAAACATGTCAATGCTGCAAGTTTTGAAAAGTGAGGTTTGAGGTGTAGAAATAAATATTAAAAATGGCAGTAAAAAATGATTGGTCAAAAACACATCACTATTATGGAAATTTTTGTTATTTGGACTACCCTCTGTTGCCCTTGGAAAATCGGTTCAAAAAATCTGAATTAATCTYATTAAAAAGTTATTTCCATKACGAGAAAGAGCACATCAAAACTAACAGGTTTCTGCAGTTTGGCTTTGATTGGCTAAGTAACAGCTAAAAACATCAAAACTTACAAAGAAATGTATGTCTACTAGGGACAAGCGTCCCCAGYAACCATACATTTCTTTGTAATTTTTGAGATATTTGGGAGGTTGCTGCACAAAAGGTATGAAACCCAAAATTTTGAAACTCCAGAAATGTACTAATTTCGATGTACTATTTCTTGTTATGGTGTATATTTTTTTAACTTKGTTAATTCTAAAAACTCATTCCCAGTCCTCATAACTCATTTCTAAAGAGGGCAATAGTCCATTCTCACTAACAGGTCATGTGACCCCACCATATGTGTTAAAATGAACACCTGAAAAGCGCAGTTATTGTTATTAGTAAGCAAATTTTCYGCTCATGATGACAACTAAAGCAGAAATGGCATAAATAGGCCAAAGCTAGATGTTTGCATGCAGTGGGCTGCTTGTGACTGGCACTATATTTCCTACATACACTCATTCCTAGATTTGAGTCCATCCTGGATTGGCTGTAGTCTTATCATAAATCCTGCTCTTTGATTGGCTGAGCTACTATTGGTCTTATACTGATAGACAACTAGCAGCAAAGAGTGCTGGACAGGTTTTGACAAACAAAAAATTGCAAATAACTTGCTATYTCAATCTTTTTTTTATTCATATATTTGAGATTATATTTGACCAACTAGTACTAAGGCTTAGACTAAAACAATCTCCCCCTAATGGWCTACACATGCCCATGAGGCTGATGGGCTATAGTAGACACTTCGGGCTGCTGGTGTAATTGTTAATTATACTTTACCAAACTAAAAACTAAAAACATACACTGTATCTTTTTTTTTCAGTAAGAGGCAGGATACGACAATAAAAGAAACAGAGAAAAGACAATCCAGCAGCAGAGAAAGCCTGAACAAGCTGCAACAAGATTATCAACAAGCTATTACAAAGGCTGCTCTTAAAGCTTAACATTTAGTATATTTTCCAGTTTTGCTTTTTAATGAAGTAAAGTGACTTTAGTTAATTCATTTCCCTCCTAGTGTGTKTTCAAAAATCAGGTAACTTCAAAATAAAGCCCTATCTTTATAGAGCCATTCTTGACACTAAATGCTTGATTTGAGGAAAACCTTATGATCAAAGTTTTAGATGTTATTGGGTTGAAAGCAAGRTAAAGGGTGGAGTTTTGATGTATAGAAAGTAAACTGATATAAATGTTTGTGGTTCATTAAAAGAATTTCAAACGGCTGCATGTGTCTGTGTACTATATTATAAGGAGCAGGCTGCATGTGTTTGTGTACCATATAATAAGGAGCAGGCTACATGTGTCTGTGTACCATATCATAAGGAGCAGGCTGCATGTGTTTGTGTATCATTAATAAGGAGCAGGCTGCATGTGTCTGTGTACCATATTACAAGGAGCAGGCTGCATGTGTCTGTGTACCATATCATAAGGAGCAGGCTGCATGTGTGGGGTGCAGTTGGGGGTTCCAAGGAATTAATCAGAGACACTCGCATCATTGTCTTTTCCATTCCAAATGAAAGTATAAAGTATCTTATTTAGTTCTTTAATAATATCCTTTTATTATATAAACTATAGTCGTTTACAAAGATTTCTACAACTGAGAAATTTCGTATTTCAACACATGTAAAAATACGATAATTTTCACATGTAAAATTATAACCAATCAGTATTCTGTGACGTCATTGCTCTCACAGGCGCGGGAAAATCACAACGGTCGGCAGCTTTGTCTCTTATGTGGTGCAAAGATTGCTCAMTTGATCGATAGTCAAAATTATTGAAAATTAAGTTCAAAAACATGGCTGAAAGGTTTGTCACATTTGATTTACGAAACGTCATAGATTTTATCGAGGAGGAGGAAAATGCAAACACCAAAAAAGGACAAAGRACGACCTGTCGCTCATTTAGTTATTTCTCGTTTGAAGAGATTTCCCCTAAGAACCCGACTCGCATTTGTCCAGATTTTTGCTATCAGTCRGAAAGAAAAACGGTGAGGAATAATATATATATTTAGGCACTGCCTAAAAGCGGAGCTCCTGATACGAAATTAGGGAGCCAGGGAGCCCAATTTGAATGAATCTGAAAGGTAAAAATAAGATCGGGRAAAAAATCTTCAATTATTTTTATTCGAGATGAAGATAACGTATCCCATCCCTTCTTTTAAGCTTTGAATTCCTGTTTAATTTTACTCTAAAAAAACGAAAGATGTCTTTCATTGAAATCGAAATTTTGGAGATTCCCGATTCTTTTAGGACAAATCA